AGAGCCAAGGGGGCTCGCTGGCGTCTGGGTCTCAGGTCCCCCCGCTATCGGGTCACCACTTGGGGGTGCCAGCGGCCCGTGGGGAGGGAGACGCGCGAGCGGTCGCCTTCCAGGTTGGGCTAACGGCATGGAGAACAGCCACCCCCCCCCGCAGCAGCCCCCGCCGCAGCCCGGCCCCGCGGGCGAGAGGAGGAACCACCACTGGCGGAGCTACAAGCTCATGATCGACCCGGCGCTCAAGAAGGGGCACCACAAGCTGTACCGCTACGATGGGCAGCACTTCAGCCTGGCGGTGAGTGCCCTGCCGGCCGGCGCGGCCAACTGTCAGCCTCGCGGCCAGGCCCGCGCCAACACGCCCCCTCCCCGCAGATGTCCAGCAACCGCCCGGTGGACATCGTCGAGGACCCCCGCGTCGTCGGGATCTGGACCAAGAACAAGGAGCTGGAGCTGTCGGTGCCCAAATTCAAGGTGGGCCCCCCCCCCGCGCGCCCCGCCCCCCCCCCTGCGCTCTCCTCGCCGAGTTCGAAAATAACGCCGGGCGGGTGGCCCTGCGCCCCTCGGTCTGAGGGCAACTTTTGGCGGGGAAGGGCGACGGCCGCGGGGCGCTGGGGTGGGGGCTTGGGCTTGGGGCTCAGGACGCGGATCCCCTCCGGCCCGCTGCCGGCCCGGCCCCGCCCCCTGCGCGGGGAGGGGGGGCTCCCTGGCCACCTTCGGCTGGGGCGCCCCGCGGGCAGGCAGGCGGGCGAGGGCGGGGAGACGCTACTGCTTCCCCTGCTGGAACCCCGGGACTTCCATGTTCCAGCCACTTAATCCTCTGCTTCCCGGGCCCTCCCGCGTGCATTTTTCCCCAAATGTTTGAGGCTTTCACCCTTCATTGTTGTCGCGGGTGGGCACTGGCAGAGGCCCTTGGTGTCCAGCCCCCCAACTCGCTGCCTGCCCCCGCCCCCCCAGATCGATGAGTTCTACGTGGGGCCCGTGCCTCCGAAGCAGGTGACATTTGCCAAGCTGAACGACAACATCCGCGAGAACTTCCTGCGGGACATGTGCAAGAAGTACGGGGAGGTGGAGGAGGTGGAGATCCTGTACAACCCCAAGACCAAGAAGCACCTGGGCATCGCCAAGGTGGTCTTCGCCACTGTCCGGGGCGCCAGGGAGGCGGTGCAGCACCTGCACAGCACTTCCGTCATGGGCAATATCATCCACGTGGAGCTGGACACCAAGGGTGAGTGCCGGCACCCAAGCGCCTGCGGGCCTGGCCTGCGCCCTGCCCCGCCTTTCTCTGGGTCAGGGATCCCAGGCCGCTGTGCCTGGTGCCCCCTTGCTGTCTTCTTTTTTCCTTGCCCCTTCCCGAGGGTAGAGTCACGTGGCACTTAGTGTGTTGTCTGTTGCTAGGAGACAGCCTGTAATTTACCGACTGTGCAGTCCTTGGCTGCCACACCCCTGGGGGGGGCACCCCAAGCCCAGGCCACTCCGAGGCCCCCACCGTGAGCCCCCAGAGCCCCAACCGCACGTCCCGGGTGTAGGCAGTCCCCCAGCTTTGCGTCCTCAGTTCTGGAGGAGGCGGGGTTTGTTGACTAGTGGGGGGCTGGGGACGCCTCTAATGTGAGAGAGGGCCAGAGGGGAGCTGCACCTCCAGGGTGCAGGGCCCCGCCCCTAGACCCAGCCCTCTTAAAGAGCCCAAGCCGACCCTGCAGGGACACGCCCCCGCCCTCCTTGGAGCCTCTGGAGGCCCCTGGTGGCAGTAGCGGGGCACCCCGAGTTTGCCTGTGCATCGAGGAAAGTTCCCACCGCGGGCTGAGTCTACCCGGCAGCTCGGCCGGCCGGGCAGACCCTGGCTCCGGGGCTTGGGAGCTGGGGTCTCCCGCCCCACCGCAGCCTGAGTCCCCTCCGTCGTGCCCGCAAACCTGGACACAGACGGCGAGTCCAGCGCCCCTCAGGTCCAGCGGGTGGAGGCCTCGCAGCAGATGCTCTGTGCCGCTTCCTGGCGCTGCAGGCCCCTCCCCCGCCCCACGCCCCTATGAGCCGCAGCAGGTCTCACCAGAATTTCATTTCTGCAAAAAGGAAAGAAAGGCTGCAGCCGCCAGTCTGTATTTCAAGAAAGCAGCAAAGTGTAGCTCAAGGAATGTGGCTCCTTTGCATATGTGAGCAGCTGCGCAGAGGGCACAGGGCAGGCGGGGCTTGGGGCTGGCCGGGGCTTGGGGCTGGCCGGGGCTTGGGGCTGGCCCGGGCTGGCCGGGGTTTGGGGCTGGCTGGACTCAGGGCAGGCGGGGCGCAGGACAGGCTGGGCGCAGGGGAGGCGGGGCGCAGGGCAGGCGGGGCTCGGGGCTGGCAGGGCACAGGGCTTGGGAGGGCTGGGGTTGGCAGGGGCTTGGCTGGCTGGATGCGTGGTGGCGGGGCGCAGGGCTGGCGGGGTGCGGGGCTGGTGGGGTGCAGGGCTGATGGGACGCGGGGCTGATGGAACACGGGGCTGGCTGGACTCCGGCTGGTGGGGCTTGGGGCTGGCAGGGCACAGGGCAGGCAGGGTGCAGGGCTGGCGGGGCTTGGGGCTGGCTGGACTCGGGCTGGCGGGGCGCAGGGCAGGCAGGGTGCAGGGCTGGCGGGGCTTGGGGCTGGCAGGGCACAGGGCAGGCAGGGTGCAGGGCTGGCGGGGCTTGGGGCTGGCTGGACTCGGGCTGGCAGGGCACAGGGCAGGCAGGGTGCAGGGCTGGCGGGGCTTGGGGCTGGCTGGACTCGGGCTGGCGGGGCGCAGGGCAGGCAGGGTGCAGGGCTGGCGGGGCTTGAGGCTGACTGGACTTGGGCTGGTGGGGTGCAGGGCTGGCTGGACTTGGGCTGGCGGGGCACAGGGCAGGCAGGGCGCAGGGCTGGTGGGGCACGGGGCAGGCGGGGTGCAGGGCTGGCGGGGCTTCAGAGCTGGCTGGATGCGGGTGGCGGGGCGTGGGGATGCTGTAGTCGGCCTCGGCAGGTGGGTGCCTGGCTGGGCGGGGAGCGAGTGGCTGTTATGTGTCTTTTTTTTTTTTTTTAATTTTTTTATTCACACACACAAGAAATGGGGTGCAGGCTAGAGATGTGGGGGGTGAGAGGATGCACCAGAGACACTGGGGAGCAGAACAGGTGGGCTTTGAAACGCTCTGCTGAGGGAGCAGTGGGGTCCAGGAGGGGTCTGCTGGGCCGCATGGGTCCCTCCCTGGCCAGGGACCGAACTTGCGCTGCCACCTGGCCACAGTGACCAGGCCCCTGCCCTGCTGCTCAGGCCTCCCTGCCCAGGGCAGTGGGTGCCAGGATGGAGCTTTGTGGTGGAGGGTGGCATTGTGAGCTGGGGGAGCGCTGGCCCCCGCGGGCATTACATTCCTACTCAGGGTCAGAAAAGTTGAACATCAGAGCAGCGTTGCTGACTAGGGGGCCGCGGAGGGGGGCTGTGTCTGGGCTCGGCCTGGGGCACGGCTGGGGTCGGTGGGGGCTGCCCCGCCGGGGGCCTGCCTGATGCTGCCCCTTGTCCTCCCACAGGGGAGACCCGGATGCGCTTCTACGAGCTGTTGGTGACTGGCCGCTACACGCCCCAGACCCTCCCGGTGGGGGAGCTGGACGCTGTGTCTCCCGTGGTGAGCGAGGCCCTGCAGGTGAGTGTGCTGCCCCAGCCCCCCACGCCCACCCCTCCCCAGCTGTGGGCACCAGCGCCCGTGCTGGCGCCCTCCTGAGCCCTCAGGGCTTCTCAAGCCCACCGGCAGCGCTCTTCCCCCACCTGGTTCCTGGCACCCGGCCCCTGGGCCAGAAAGCAGCGCCCAGTGCCCCCTGGGCCCCTCTGGACCCCACGTCCCCCCAGCAGGGTGCCCTGCCTAGCTGCCCCAGCACTGCCCAGCCAGAGTCCGCAGTTGCTTCCTCCCAGGTCTGGGGCAGGCTGTGGGCTTGTGCAGCCCCTTCCCAGCCTTCTGACCGGTCGGCCACAGGGCAGTGGCTACAGCATGCCCCTCCCGGAAGGTCTTTGCTTCCGGGATCCTGAGGCCAGACAGGCTGGGTGGGGTGTTCCCTGCCCCAGGGTCTTCCCTGCCCCGGGCATCCGGCAGGATCACGACAGGCTGTGGTCAGACCGCGGTCAGACCCTCCCAGCCATCGCTGGGCGGAAGGCGGCCAGGGGGAGGTACCTGGCCTGCTGCAGCCTCCTGTCCTGTCCTCTCCAGCTGTCCGACGCCCTGAAGCGCCTCAAGGATGGTGGCCTGGCAGCAGGCTGTGGCTCTGGCTCGTCCTCTGTCACCCCCAACAGCGGCGGGACGCCCTTCTCGCAGGACACGGCCTATTCCAGCTGCCGCCTGGACACCCCCAACTCCTATGGGCAGGGCACGCCGCTCACGCCGCGCCTGGGCACCCCGTTCTCGCAGGACTCCAGCTACTCCAGCCGCCAGCACACGCCCTCCTACCTCTTCGGCCAGGACGCCGCGGCCACCTTCAAGGCACGGCGCCACGAGAGCAAGTTCACGGACGCCTACAACCGGCGCCACGAGCACCACTACGTGCACAACGCCGCAGGCGCTGCCGCGGCCTTCAGGGGCGCCGCGGACCTCACCTTCGGGGCCGGGGGC